AGAATGCCTAGGATGGAATGAGGATGCAAAGATGCATTTTTAAACACTTTTCAAAATTTTGCTGAAATAGGGGTCCCGCTCGAGCATGGCTTTCTCTGCTCGAGCAGACATGCAGACAAAGGAGCTCCGCTCGAGCGTGACTTCCTTGCTCGAGCGGACTGCAAAAGTATTGGATGCACGAAATTCATGCTTGATGGGCGCTCGATACCCGCTCGAGCGTGAGACACAAGTCCTCGCTCGAGCGTGCATTTCCCTACTTGAGCGGACTGTAAACACATGCAAAGTACTGGATACACGTATTTCCCGCTCGAGGGTCACTTTACCCGCTCGAGCGGACTACATGAACACAGGTTGTATGCTTGAGCGTGGAATCCCCACTCGAGCGTGAGTCCAAATTCTGGAAATTCCAGATTGAACCTTCAAGCTCAAAATCAACTTTAAATGCATCAAATCCGATCCTTTTGGGCTAATTTTCTGGAAAACACTTTAAAACTCATAATATGACATGTTTTGAAGATCAATTTGAGAAATCAAAACCCAAAGGTAGTTTAATTAAACATAAATTCAAACAAAGCTTCATGATCATGATGTACATGTAACATGCATGAATTCTAATGACTTCTAATGCTCCAAAACATGATCCAAAGCAAGAGGGAGCTCAAGAATATGATGAATTCATGGGCTAGAACAAGAATGTAAACTTGCATGCAAGAATTTTCATGAAAACAACCTCAAAACTCATTAATGTGCACATGCATGCGTGGATTACTACCCAATTCAACATCTTAAACCATATCTTGGCTCTAGACTACAACATCCCTCTCAACCATGCAAGAATCAACTCAATTCATAAACAAGAAGGTAAAAGTTCTACCTTAAGTCTTCAATTTCAAGAAGGGAAGCTCAATAGAGCAATCTACACTTCAATTCCTCTAAATTTCCAAGCAATTCTTGAAGAACTCAAACTATCTCCTATCTTTCTCTCTCTAGTCGGTTTGGCCACAAGAAAATTGAACAAGAATGATGTATCAAAGGCTCCAAACAATGTTGTAGGTAGTGGCCCACTAATGGCAAAAGGGAAATAAGCCAACTAATGTAATTCAACATTATTTAATCCAATTTAATCGTTCCAAATCAAATTTCAATTAAACATGCCATAAAATCACATAAATTCTAATTAACATAAAACGCTAATCAATTTCAGATTCGGCCGCCGATAAAGCCTTCAATTTACAGTTCGAAACTTAAAACATGAACAGATCATTTAGCAGTCAAACAGATAGATTTGCATTTAAACTAATACACTCAATCAATCGGTTCAGAAATTCAATCAATCAGTCACTTAACATGCTTAATCATAGATTAGCACTAATCAGTGGTGAAGGTTGTCACAATTTTACTCACTCTTCTTCTTCCCAAGCATGTAGATTTCTTCTAAAACTGAAGCACCACCTGTCTGAACTGCCTTTTCTTGAAATCTGCTCATTTAGAGAAGCCTTCTTTGCTGTGCATAACTGATAAAGTCTAGGGAATTTAGTACAAATACTTGAATCCCCTATCCAATTATCAATCCAAAACATTATTCTTTTTCCATTCCCTATTGTTTTTTCCATGTTCTCCAAAAATAGGGTATATAATTTTGGATTTGATTGTGATACTTCCACTATATCCCTCTATATTTTAGAAGTTATGTCTGCTATATTAGTAGACAGCAACCATTTCCCTCCAGCAAATCCATACTTGCAACAAACTATTGCTTTCCATAATGCATCATCTTCAATTACATACCTCTACCACCATTTGAATAGCATACACTGGTTTGTGAGCCTGATATCTCTTATCCCCAGACCTCTTTTTTTGTAACGCCCTCAAAATAAACCCATAATATCATACATTCACGATAAAGAAAAGAGATTTCATATTACAATCATCAGAGTATTCTTACAAAAGGTATTACATGTTGACAACAAAAGTAAATGCCCTATAGGCTTACAACTTTCCAAGTCAACACTTGGTTACAAAAAGGAGAGTACTAACGCTACACAAAATAAGCCCTTGGCCTGATATACATGTAATACAACAAAAAAACAACAAAAAGGAGTCTATCAACCTCAAGCCTCCCAAGCTACGTTCTTGGATATGGCATAACACCTGTACCTGAAAATGATGTCCCATATAGGGCGAGCCAACGCCCAGTAGAGATATGCTAAACATAATATGAGCAATAATTAAAATATTAGCATTTGATAAACATTTAACTCACATAAATCAATTCATAATTCATTTCAATTACATGACACCAATGTCCATGTTTCATTTCTCTTTCCTTTACTTAACCGATTCTCAATTTATGAATAAGGCTCAGAACCTGGCCAATAATTTAATGAGACTATAACTCATATCAACAATACTTCCATACTTCACAATAGATATACATATTCACTGTATCAATATCACATAAAACACTTCCATACTTCATAGTAGATACACATATTTGCTGTATCAACACTGCAATAGATACACAGATTTGCTGTATCAATGGTGTTCACCCCCTATCTCCTCCCAAAGAATATCCGATTTAGGAGTCCATCCCCTATCTTCTCCTAAACCGTGGAGTACATCCCATATCTCCTCCCACACAACACATTGTATATAAGCATAAATCATATACATAACCAATCAATACATAAATTTGATGTATTATTCCAACCGTCATATTCAATGACATATTCAATTGATTAGTTTTAATTCACCTAATCATCATGCAATGTCTACAACAATCAAAACTATCATCCACCGATAGCCCAAAGCAATTATTTCTAAACAGATAATAATTATATCAACAGATAATTTGTTAACAATTTCCAAGGTGAGTGATTAATAATTCCAACTCCACCATTCTATCTCATAATGAGCCAATTACATTATTTCTAACTCAATTTCGTATTTCCATAATAAATGTCATTAATTACACTAATGACCCAAATATACCCAAACATGGCATTTTTCCTCTTTTTCTCAATATTGACCTAAAGGTCCAAATATTATCAACAACATCAACAACCTCCTTTTTAGACCCAAAACACAAATGTTTGAATCAAAAGAACAAAACTCCTCTTTCCAATATAGCCCATCTCAAACCCTAACTTCCCAAATCAAACCATTTATACAAAAAGCTCAACATCTATGTTAAAGCTCATAAAGATGAGTAGGAATCTCTATCTTAAGAGATGAAACTCAAAGGAGATGATGAAGAAATCTCGAAATGCTCCAAAACCCAAGATTTTCGGATTGATAGAAAGTCCAAGCCAAGCTCTACACTCTTTGCAGAGACACTAAGGGAGTAGATCACTCAAGCTAGATCAATCCCTAGAGAGAAGGTATATTCTAGAGAGAGGAGCTCTCAAAAGAGGGTTTAGAAAAGTAAGAGAGAGAAAGGAAATGTGAAAAGTGATTCAAAATCACCTAGCTGCCAACTAATATACGACTATCTCGCTCGAGCTGAGAACAGGAGGCTCGAGTGTCAAACACAAAAACTAGACCCGCTCGAGCGCAAAAAGACCCGCTCGAGCGCCAAGACACAAAATCAAAAAGCACCCGCTCAAGCGCAAAGGGAAACCCGCTCGAGCGTAGATTACCCTCTTCCAGTATTTTTACAAACATTGAACACCCGCTCGAGCGCCAAGAGGCCAGCTCGAGCGTGACCCGCTCGAGCGTAAGGAAATTCGCTCGAGCGTGAAAAACGCACCTACAGTAGTTTTGTAGAGGCACAAAATGCTGAAAGTGTGTAAACTCCGATCGAGCGCAAAAGGACCCGCTCGAGCGAACCACCAAAAATTTAGGTAACAAGGAATAGGACTAAAGCTCAACCAACCTGTTCGAAACACGCCCAATGTATCCTAAAACTCAAATATATGGAATTAAAGGATGACAACAAGACATATACAACAACCAACTCCACAGAACCTAAGTCCGGATACAACAAATAAGGAAGAGAAAACCGGGATCGCTATCCATTGTAATCTCCTTCCATTTTACTAAATGAATTTTCTTCCTAACTTCTGAACCTCCCCACAGAAAATTTGCTTGCAACCTATCAAGTTCCTTAGCGACATTTTCAGGAATCTTAAAAAGCGACATGTAAGAAATTCGCAAAGAGGACAAAACAAATTTAATAAGACACTACAACAAAAAAAAAGCCTTTGGTGACAGATTGATTTTATCTCCAAATATCAAATTTTCATTACCAAAGTGATTTGTGACGAAAAAATTTTGTCATCACGCTTGTTGCATATACGTTGTCGCTAAAAGTACCTAGTGATGAAAAATAGTTTCGTCGCCTATTTTTCATTTTTAGCAACGAAATTTTTCATCTTCAAATGTTGCATTTTTCGTCCTCTATAACATCAATTTCGTCACTAGAATTAAATAATATTTTATTTTAATTATTTTGGCAACAAAATATTTCGTCACCAAATAAGTTTTAGTAACGAAATTTTTCCTCACCAATGATATAGATTAAGATGAAAAAAAAATCCGTCACTAAAATAAGTACAAAATAAAATTCTTCAATGACAAAAAAATTTGTCACCAAATATTTCAATTCAGTGATGAAATATTCAACGACTATGACAAAATTATTTATTTGGTACTATATCATTAGTGACAGAATTATTCGTCATGTTGTTTGAAAACTAATATCGACATTTTTTTCATCGCTAATAATAATTAAAAAAATTTAAAATAGGGGTAATATTTTCAATTTAAAATTTTTCTTTTCACTAAAAATTCCTTGCGCATTTCAATAACTTATTCAATAAAAATATCTATTACAATTCAATACAAAAATCTGTTCATTTTCATAAACACCACAGTCGAATTTCAACACAATATCCACAAAAATATAATATAAATTGCATGTGGATTACCAAACATGTCTCCTAATAACCACAAAAAATATGTTTACTATATCCACAACAATACAATATCAACCGCATACAGATTACCAAACACGTCTCTTAATATCCACAAAAAACATGTCTACTAATATTTACAAAAATATAATATCAAGTGCGGATGACCAAACATGTCCTGTAATACCCACAAAAATATAAAATTTACAATGTAACCAAAATACATGTAAGGTAAAATGAAGAAAAACACAAAATGAGCTAGCTTCTGCTCTCCAGATTACCAAACATATCCATATCTAATCTCAAATCTGCAACAAAACAAAACATTAAAAAAAAAAATATGTAAGACAATTATTATCTTATCAATTAAATATACAATTTAACATGTATTTTTTGACTTTAGTTTTCAAACCGAGAATCTCATGCTAGTTCCGTAAGTTTACACAAGTCACAATGGTCGCTTTCGAGGTGTTTGAGGTGTTCCCTGGGCCTTCTTGTGGTTGTTAAACAATTTTGGCCCCTGATAGCCTATTTTCAAACTCAAGTGTGAGAAAAGTGCATTTTTCGACTTAGTTTTCAAACCGGGAGTCCCGTGCTAGTTCCGTAAGATTTCATAACTTACATTTGTCCCTCCTGAGGTGTTTGATGTGTTCCTCGGGCCTTCTCGTGACTGTTACACGATTTTGGCCCCATATAACCTATTTTCAAGCTAAAGTGTAAAAAACATACATTTTTCGACTTAGTTTTCAAACTAGAAGTTCCGTGCTAGTTCCGTAAGTTTTCACAACTTACATTGGTCCCTCTCGAGGTGTTTTAGGTGTTTCTCGGGCCGTCTTGTAGCTATTACACGATTTTGGCCCCATATGGCTTATTTTCAAGCTTAAGTGTGAAAAAAGTGCATTTTTTGACTTAGTTTTCAAACTGGGAATTCCGTGCTAGTTCGGTAAGTATCCACAACTTACATTGGTCCCTCTCGAGGTGTTTGAGGTGTTTCCTGGGCCTTCTCGTGATTGATACACGATTTTGGCCACCGATGGCCTATTTTCAAGCTTAAGTGTAAGAAAAATATATTTTTCAACTTAGTTTTCGCACCGAGAGGCCCGTGCTAGTTTCGTAAGTTTCCAAAAATTACATTGATCCCTCCCGAGGTGTTTGAGGTGTTCCCCGAGCCTTCTCGTGACTGTTACACAATTTTGGCCCTCGATGGTCTATTTTCAAGCTTAAATGTGAGAAAAATACATTTTCCGACTTACTTTTCAAACCAGGAGTCCCGTTCTAGTTCTGTAAGTTTCCGAAACTTACATTGGCCCCTCCCGAGGTGTTTTAGGTGTTCCCTGGGCCTTCTCGTGACTGTTAAACGATTTTGGCCCCCGATGGCCTATTTTCAAGCTTAAGTGTGAGAAAAGTGCATTTTTGGACTTAGTTTTCAAACCGGGAGTCCCGTGCTAATTTCGTAAGTTTATACAAGTTACAATGGTCGCTTCCGAGATGTTTGAGGTGTTCCTTGAGCCTTCTCGAGGCTATTACACGATTTTGGTCCCTGATAGCCTATTTTCAAGTTTAAATGTGAGAAAAGTGCATTTTTCGACTTAATTTTCAAACCGGGAGTCCCGTGCTAATTCTGTAAATTTTCACAACTTACATTGGTCCTTTCCAAGGTGTTTTAGGTGTTCCCCAAGCCTTCTCATGACTGTTACACGATTTTGGCTCCCGATGACCTATTTTCAAGCTTAAGTGTAAAAAAAAAATACATTTTTAGACTTCGTTTTCAAACCGGGAGTCCCGTGCTAGTTCCATAAGTTTTTACAACTTACATTGGTCCCTCCCGAGGTGTTTTAGGTGTTCCCCGGGCCTTCTCGTGACTGTTACACGATTTTGGCCATCGATGGCCTATTTTCAAGCTTAAGTGTGAGAAAAAAACATTTTTTGACTTATAGTTTTCAAATCAGGAGTCCCGTTCTATTTCTGTAAGTTTCCGCAACTTCCATTGGTCCCTCTTAAGGTGTTTTAAATGTTCCCTGGGCGTTCTCGTGACGCTACACAATTTTAGCTCCCAATAGCCTATTTTCAAGTTTAAGTGTGAAAAAAATGCATTTTTCGACTTAGTTTTCAAATCGAGAGTCCTATTCTAATTCTGTAAGTTTCCGCAACTTACATTGATCCCTCCTGAAGTGTTTGAGGTGTTCTCTGGGCCTTCTCGTGACTGCTACACGATTTTGGCTCCCGATAGCCTATTTTCAAGCTTAAGTGTGAGAAAAATGTATTTTTGGACTTAATTTTCAAACCGGGAGTCCCGTGCTAGTTCCATCAGTTTACACAAGTTACAATGGTCGTTTCCGAGATGTTTGAGGTGTTCCCTAGGCCTTCTCGTGGCTGTTACACGATTTTGGCTCCCGGTGACCTATTTTCAAGCTTAAGTGTGAGAAAAGTGTGTTTTTTGACTTAGTTTTCAAACCGAGAGTCTCGTGCTAGTTCCGTAAGTTTCAACAACTTACATTGGTCCCTCCTGAGGTGTTTGAGGTGTTCCCTGGGTCTTCTCATGACTGTTACATGATTTTGGCTCCCGATGACCTATTTTCAAGCCTAAGTGTGAGAAAAATACATTTTTCGACTTAGTTTTCAAACCGGGAGTCCCGTGCTAGTTTCGTAAGTTTCAACAACTTACATTGATCCCTCACAAGGTGTTTGAGGGGTTCCCCGGGCCTTCTCATGACTGTTACACAATTTTGGCCCCCGATGGCCTATTTTCAAGCTTAAGTGTGAGAAAAATGAATTTTTCGACTTAGTTTCCAAACCGGGAGTCATGTGCTAGTTCCGTAAGTTTACACAAGTTACAATGGTCACTTCTGAGGTGTTTCCTTGGCCTTCTCGTGGCTGTTACACAATTTTGACTCCCGATGGCCTATTTTCAAGTTTAAGAGTGAGAAAATTGCATTTTTTGACTTAGTTTTCAAATCGGGACTCCCGTGCTAGTTCCGTAAGTTTCAACAACTTACATTGGTCCCTCCCGAGGTGTTTGAGGTGTTCCCCGGGCCTTCTCGTGATTGTTACACGATTTGGGCCCTCGATGGCCTATTTTCAAGCTTAAGTGTGAGAAAAATGTATTTTTCAACTTAATTTTCAAACTGGTAGTCCCGTGCTAGTTCCATAAGTTTCCACAACTTACATTGGTCCCTCCCGAAGTGTTTTAGGTGTTCCCCTGGCCGTCTCATGGGTGTTACACGATTTTGGCCGCATATGGCCTATTTTCAAGCTTAAATGTGAGAAAAATGCATTTTTGGATTTAGTTTTCAAATTGGGAGTCCTGTTTTAGTTCCGTAAGTTTTCGCAACTTACATTGGACCCGCCCAAGGTGTTTTAGGTATTCCCCGGGCTGTCTCATGACTATTACACGATTTTGGCCCCATATGGCCTATTTTCAAGTTTAAGTGTAAGAAAAATTCATTTTTTGACTTAGTTTTCAAATCGGGAGTCTCATGCTAGTTCCGTAAGTTTCCACAACTTAGATTGGTCCCTCCCAATGTGTTTGAAGTGTTCCCTAGATTTTCTTGTGACTGTCACATGATTTTGGCCCCATATGGCATATTTTCAAGCTTAAGTGTGAGAAAAGTACATTTTTCGACTTTGTTTTAAAACCGGGAGTGCCATGCTAATTTTGTAAGTTTTCACAACTTACATTGGTCCCTCCCGAGGTGTTTGAGGTGTTCCAAGGGCCTTCTCGTGACTGTTACATGATTTTGGCCCCTGATGGCCTATTTTCAACCTTAAGTGTGAGAAAAATGTAATTTTCGACTTAGTTTTCAAACCGGGAGTCTCATGCTAATTTCGTAAGTTTTCACAACTTACATTGGTCCCTCCCGAGGTTTTTTGAGGTGTTTCCCAGGCCTTCTCATGACTGTTACACGATTTTAGCCCCCGATGGCCTATTTTCAAGCTTAAGTGTGAGAAAAATACATTTTTCGACTTAGTTTTCAAACCGGGAGTCTTCTGCTAGTTCCGTAAGTTTCCACAACTTACATTGATCTCTCCCGAAGTGTTTGATGTGTTTCCTGGGCCTTCTTGTGGCTGCTACACGATTTTGACCCCCCGATGGCCTATTTTCAAACTTAAGCGTTGAGAAAGTTTATTTTTTGACTTAGTTTCATGCCTACGTGTTGAAATAGTGCAAATTTCAAAGTAGTTTTCAAATTGGGAGCCACGCGCTTCTTTCGTAAGTTTGCACAACTTATGTTGCTCCGTCTCAAGGTGTTTGTGATGTTTCTCGAATCTTTACATGCATATTTCACTATTTTCCCGTGATCTTTCGCCCCTAAATGTCAAAGTATTTTTTTATTCTACCCTATTTGATTAAGAAATTTCTACTAAATTAACATAGAAACATAATATACTAACAAAGGCTACTAATCCAATAAAATAAATTAGTAGAACGCACCGAGCTGTATACCCTGACCGGGATTGATTTTGATCCACATCGATGTTTTGTCTTCATTTGCATCATATTATTCACATTAGCTAATGATTGTTCCTACACAATTGAAACACCAACAAAAACAAGAAAAGATAACATTATTAAGAAGAAACTTAATTTTTGACAATCAACATATATAAAACATTTTACCTTGAAGCTAGCGTGAGACTTTTGACTAAACATTTTAGATTTAGATTAGGAATTCAGGGAATGTATTTTAGACTGAAGATGATGAAATAAGATCTGACCTAAAGCATGGTATGAGCTCAGATTCCAATTGTATCTAAATATAATTAAAAAGCATAAAAAATTGTTCTTTTGTTATACAATTAATCTGCAACAAGGGAAAGAAATTGACAGATGCAAGCACTTCACAGAACAATATTTAAAAAAGAAAAGAAAAAAGAGATGAAGAATGTAAATCCAATTATTTGTAGAATCCCTCAGCAAAAATGCACTTAAATTGCCCACATAGAAAATTCACAGATATGTGTGAAATATTAGGGATTTCGTACAGCACCATGCCATATTTATTCCATTAAGTCTCAATATTTTGAAATGCATGTAATGGCCATAGCATAGAAAAACTGTTAGAATTTACCATAAACCTACCACCACTACCACCTCACCTACTCCACTAAACCTAACCCACTACACCACTACCACCTCCACTTCACCTACTCTCCACCTACTCCCAAACACACTCCTATATAATAGGAATCCTTGTAATTGTAAAAAACAACAAACATAAATCAATCAATAATACAATTCTCTATTTCTCTTTATACATTAAATTATCTACAAAAACTTCTACCTAGATGCAACTCTATGGCACATCAGAGTCTTTATCACTGACCTCTATCTTTCCGTTGTGTGGAAACACCTTGAATTGCATTAAAAATATCTGGTGTAAATATATAAACACCGCAATTTATTCGATCACTTACATGCAGCGCATACAATTTCAGACAAAACGGAAAGAAGACATTAGACATATACCAACGGTGTCATGAGTAAGCAATGTCAAAAGACAAAAAGTAGTTGAATCTGTGATCTTGTACATACAAAAGTATCAGGTTTCCCGGTGTAATGCAACAGTTCATTGGTAACTGGATCAGCCACCAGTTCCCCAAACTGGTTAGCTGACTCTGCAGAAACCTTGATTACCAAGATTGTTTCTATCCCACCAATTGGAACTACTGGATTGTCCTGTATAGCCATGCAAAAGAGTGTAGGTCAAAATTTAGTGACCTGACAAAAGACAGAAAATTCAACAGTTCAAAATGTCCAGCAAATTAAAGGTTATTTTTTTCCAAATTAATAAGCAAAAACTATATAACAGAGCATTTTTTAATATTGTTTCCCAATATATAATCACCGCACTACTTTCTTTAGAAGTTCCAACATACACTGTATCAAAATAAATGTTTATTCAGGAATCAAAGCAGCAATGCATTAGATTAGACAAACTAGTGAAAGTCCGAAATTTAGCACATTCAAACTTTACCAACAGTCATTGAACTTAGACAGAACATTCAAGTACTAAGTTGCAGGTGCACATTATCATCTACCAAGTAATGCAGACATGGACACTGAGAGCCAACAAAACACAGATACACTAACGCAACATGAACACGCCAATATGACATTTTAAAAGAATGGAAACAGTCTAGGTGGGGATGTGGTGTGCATGTCTTGTTCTGAACCTGTACTATGAGCACAGTTCAAGCAGCTTGATCAACCATCCAAACATAATGGTTTGGCAGTCAAACTTTCATAAGAGTGTTCAAGGCAATCCAGCATCACCCATAAAATATTAAGAAGCTTCAAAAGGTTTTTGAAGGGAAATTTCACTGCATTTAGTAACCACAACGGAAGTAAAGCTTCCCTCAAGTGGTCACACTGTTGCTTATAGATTTAAACAAGATGTAAAGGTGTAGAAATCAAATCAGAAGTCATCCCTGTCCTTTGATGGTTAAGCCAGCGTATCAGGAACCAATAGCAAAATAGGATATTTCCCTAAAGGCACCAATGGGCAGAATCCAGGAGCTTAAGGAGCATCTAGTAAAATTGTAAAATCAAAGCAAGTTTCTCCATCTCATGTTCCATGGCTGGCAACAGAGAGAGGAAATAATAATTTAAAGTATTTCAAGATGAAAAAAAGTGTTTAAAAAGGGAGGTAGAAGAAGAGTAGAAAGAGAAAGTGAGACGAACAAAAGAAAGGATTGACGAAAATCAGAGAGGTAAAGAAGAAAGTGGGAGAGAGGTCTAAAGCGTAAAATACAATTATATTCCTAAAACCTGAGAACTTTACAGTGTTTAAAGTTTAGCAATACTTTTGCAGAAAACGAATCTTAACAAGACTAAAGACTAAGTTCATCAAATGCCACATCATCCTCTCATGGGCCTAGCATCAAATAAGCCTTGACACTTCCGTAATTATGGTAGGACGCATCAGGTATGGACCTCATCTTAAGTACTTAAAACATGCACTTTCGTATAAATAACAACAAATTTGAATTACCAGGATGCTGGATAAGGAAAGCATAATGTAAGGGTATGAGCAATAAATGCCAATGCTCATCAGTTATTGCCAAATGGAAAAAAAAATACGCACACTGTAAACACTGTAAATATCTACCTCATTGTCAAAGATATCAGAATTCAGAACACACTTCCAACTGTATATAATCATATCATATGATAATCATAGATTATAGGTTGCATTTAATCTTAGGTTATAAATGATAGTACTTTCATGAATTGACATTGGAATGGGAGATGAGTACTAATAACTGATTTGTTTTTATAAGATCACAGTACCTGCATATAGTTCAAAATACTATATGATGCACATGGCAAATGTATATCCCAAACCTCTATCAAAGTGAATAAACGGAATACCCTGAATTTAAATATAAAAGAAGTTCATAAATATAAGCATGTATACATTTATATATATATATATAGAGAGAGAGAGAGACAGAGAAAGAGCACAAGTGTGAAATGGAATTAAACCAGCTGCATAATGGACTTCCATGTATGCATGATAATCTGACAGGTACACTTCAATAAGCATTGCCGTTCAATGTAGTACTGAAGCATTACCTTCATAACAAAGAGAAAGTAAGAACAGAATGTCTTAGGCATTAAAGCTTTCACATATAATTGATGTTTCATAACAGGATACTTTTGACAATCACAAGTCAACTAAATATACCTTCATGAGATATATGAGTTTCTTCTTCTTCTACTTGAAAGAATGTAGAAAACCAATGAAGATTGGGTTTGGTTGTGATGAATGAATACAAACAAGGAGATGGGGGTAGAATTGAGGGAAAAGATTCTAGAAGTTTTATGGGTTAGTTGACAGTGCAGGGTTTTGAAATGACATGATCATTGTTATGATGATTCTCCCTCTGCATTGTCCAAACCTCCCAATTCAACCTTTGCATTGCCTCCAGATCACACCACCCACCTCACCATCTTTATTAAAAACCCCAACAAAGAAAGTTGCAATTATAAGTGGTTTGTTCCAATCTTTTGAAAGTAATGCAATGAATACAAAATCAATTTGTTATTCATTGTCAGTGACACAACAAAGATCAAATCGGAAGATAGGGGACTTGTCCCCATGACTGACATCAAGACATTGAGAGTTGGTGTTTGGGAATGGCAATGAAGGCAGGCAAATAGTGGTGGTGGAGTTCACCAAGAAGATCAAGGAGGCCTACAACTATTGTTTGGGTTACGATAGATGCTCCATTAGATTTACTATGGTGATGTGGCACAATGGGATTACTTTTATGCATCAGTAACATGTTTTTAGTTGAATTGCAGTAAGACCATAAGGGAATGGAAGATATTGTGCATTTTCATCGACTTCAATAAGGCTAAAATCACTGTGATGAACTATTAACATATTGACATTTCTTCTGTTATGGACCTTGTGGTTATTGACAGTCAGTTAGCAAAGGGGAGGGCTCTGCTGCATATTGTGAGTAACAGAAAGAGAGTGCCCAATAATGGAGGCCAAAACAATGTGCAGCCTTGGAAAAGGCTACTCTTTGGGGGGGGAAACTAGTCAAAAAAAAAAAAGCAAAAAAAACTAGAACAATAAAACTGCGTGTATGAACATGTTGTGATGAGTGCATTAGACTTGGAAACAAAGACTATAGTGAATGAGCGAAAAATTATGGAAAGAAGGAAGGATTATATCTGAATGGGGCCTAACTCACCCTACCTCAGCCCAGGTAACTCATTATTTTAATTTTTGAAGGGTGGGGATAAGTATGCAATTATCAAAGTTATCATCGAACATTTAGTTAGTTGGTACTTTGCAAATTTTCATATGCAGAGAATGGTAACAAGAAAATCATAAGAACAACAAATACAACGAAAACAAATATCGGATGAACCTGGCTTGCATGACAACACATGATTGTGATAACAAATATTTTTCTGTCCTACAAAGATTGGCACCCTTGTAGAAAAGTAAGTCCATGAAGATTTCTCATTTTTGCAATAACCCATGGCATGAAATAATAGTGACGAGCATTCAAGCTGTGACGACATTAATTAGGCTATCTGATAGAAAGGTGAAATGAAATAACTAGTCTTCTAAGGTAGAAAATTATGGGCCAGAGGGGGTTATACGTTGCATTTAATATCAATACAAACCAGAAAAATGATTATTATAACATTATGGATCTAGCAATGATTGTTTATACATCACGCGAAAAATAAATCTGAGGTCACTAGTTTTAAATGAGTGGATGCTTATAGTGAATTTGAATGAATTGCCCCTCATTCTGGTGAAACTGATTCTACACCAACCAAATCACAGAGGGAAATTTTACTTATAAAAATGCCCCTCTCTTGTCTCTTTACTTTATTTATTTGTTTTTAAATTGCCTATAATTTTCTGTTAACACCCAGATGCATGTTTCTGATTTTTTTTTTCTAAACTAAAATATAAAAATCATGGATTTTCAAAAGAAGAAGTACTAAATAATATATTTAGAAATGCTTTTAAAATGATCACAAAGCAAGGGACAGAGACATTTCAGGAAATGTTCTCTTACAGAGTACATCAGATCAAAATACAAAATGAGAAAAAAAAACAATTTTTAATTTTTTTTTTTTTTTTTTTTTGGAACAAACTAAAACTAATTTGAGAAAAATAAAAATAAAAATATATTTTTTTAATTTTAAAAATTATTTATGATCTCATAAAAGATAAAATTATATAAAAATAATAAGTATTTTTTTATTTTTTTACCTTTTTTTTATTTTTTAGAAAAAAAAAAATCTGAAACAAATTTTTAAAAATAAAACCAAATATATTGAAATTGATAATCTAACAACATTCTTTGAAAAAGTTTAGATTATCTCAAGTTAGTAATCACTACTTAAGAGTGTGTTTAGGTCTGATGGATTCATTTTGTGATCTAATTCGATAATCACTTTAATTTTACAATACAATAATTAGAATATTTAAAATTCTTTAAAAAGTTATAATAAAAACACGTATCACCAAATCACTAAATCACTTCGTTTCACTAACAAAACTTTTATCGATGAATAGTGTTATCATCGCTAAATGTTTAACTCTTTGTCCACGTCAACTTGTCATCGCCAAAAGTAAGAACATTAATAGCAACGCTCATTGTGTTGCTAAATAATAAGCCTTGTAGCTAAATTTTTTGAATTTTTGGCGCCAACCAATAATTTTGACACTTAGTGAATGTTATACTTTTTTAGCGATGAAAGTAAATTGCATTAGTAAATGTCTACTTTTACCAACGAAATTCATCACTGTGTCGCTAAAAATATACTCTTGTCTATGAAAAATTGACATTGTCGCCAAAAGTAGTCGCCAAAAGTGCAATTTTCTTGTAATGATGTATGAAACCACTAAAATCAAACTCATTTAGGACATCAAATCCACAAAACTTTACAAATCAAACCACTTCAACCAAATCCATTTTTCGAAATCAACACCAAATTAAATTGAAGAAATCATAACAACCCTCGAGCACGATAGAGAGAGAGGGATAGAGAGGGAGAGAGAGTGACTGGGGTAGACAAAGCGAAAAACAGACCGCAAGTGAGAGAGAGACAGACCGAAAGTGAGAAAATACCTGTGAGGATGCGGCGGTGGTGATTTGCGAGCGGTGGTGGTGGTGGGGGGGGTGGTGGTGGCGAGCGGCGTTGGTGGCGAGCGGCGTTGGTGGTGTGCGCTGAGGCGAGGTCATGTAGGGTGAGGCCTGGTGGTCAAATCTGCGTGTGAAAAGAAGAACCGATATATCTAAGGCGCCAATATATTCATTTCCCTCTAAAAACCATTAGCAACTAAACCATTTATTTGGTGACAAAATTATTTCCTCACCAAAAAATAAAATTATTGGCTACGAAAATAGTTTTCTCACTAAATGATATTAAAATATTAAAAATTATTGGCGACAAAAATATATTCGTCATTAATAATTTTATTATTGGTGACCAATTTTTTCCTCACCAAAAATCTGAAAATTTTGCCACCATCCGAAAAATTAGCGGGAAAATCTTCGGTGACAAAAAAAATATAAATAATGACGAAAAATAATTTCGTCACCTAATTTTTTTTATTATGTATGTAGATTGGTGACAAAATTTTATTTGTCTCTAAAAATGGTACATTTAGAGACAAAATTTTATTTTTTTCACTAAAAGGTACATTTTACGTGACAAAATTTATTTTCGTTATTAGTTTTCGTCTCCAAAGACACTTTTTGTTGTAGTGAGAACAACTCTCCCTACGAATGACAATACTATTCTTTTCCAACCTGAGAGCTTCTTGTTAAAGTTATCAATGACAGGTTTCTAAGAATATTTTCTACTTGGGTTAGCTCCAAGTGGAAGACCAAGGTACTTGAATGGCAATTTTTGACTTAAACAATTAAGATTTGATGCAAACTCCAGAATCAGATCATCAACCACACCAACCCCACATACCACACTTTTGTGGAAATTTATCCTAAGCCCAAATATCATTTCAAAGCACCTTAAAATTCTTTTAATGGCAACCACTTCAGGCAATTCCGCATTGCACACGATTATTGTGTCATCTGCGTACTAAAGATGAGACACACACAAGGTTTTAAAAAGCGGCCGCAACCGTTATGTAATGCCGTTACGTAATGATTGTGGTGGTTACCGCCACCCGTTACGGCTGCTTTTACAGTGTAATTGGGATTCACAGATGTGTCGGCCGTAGCGGCGGTCGTAGCAACTGCCGTAGTGGTCATAACAGTGTCGTAACAGCCTGTTACGCACCGTAACAGCCGTAATGGCCTGTTACGCACCGTTACATAATGGTTCCAAACTGCTTCTTTCGAAAAAACACACAAAAAAAAAACTGAAAACGGGAGAAGAGGGATAGAGAGATGAGGGAAGATAAAGAGAGAAGATGGAGGAGTAAGAGAAAAAGAGAGAGAAGAGGGAAGATGAAGAACAAGTTATTGATTTGTTGAAGCTGTAAGACTTATGCTATTCTATTCAGCTGCTATCACTCAACCATTTTGTTTGTGTGCGTCTATCTATATACTGTTTGAAAAAAAAAATAAAAATAAAAAAAATAATAATAATAATAATAATAAGTGTGGTCATTACCTATTTGGCTTAGTTAAAATATGTATATATATATATTTAGGCTCTTATTTATTCTCTTACTTTTATCATTGTTTATCTTATATATAATAGTTAGTGATTGATTTTTTTGTATAATATAAAGTCATTAATTATTAAAATAAAATGTAAAAAACTCAGTTTATATTGATTTAAAAATATGAAATATATTGAATTATGCTTAAAAATTTACAAAAATTGATCAATATTTATTTTAAACCCAATAAATATGATCATTGGAAAAAAATATGCGTATCGGTAAATTTTTTTCAAATTGTGCGAAAAATAAAAAAATTCACAGTTCTGGTTACCACAACCGTTACGCTAGAGCCTTTACACCCCACAACCGCAACCAGGCCACCGCCACTGTTATGGCAACCGCAACCGCTTTTCAGAACCTTGGACACATAAAACCCACCACTGCCCACTTCCACCCCATTGATAATCCCCAATTCCTTTGCTCTCTTCAACAATATATTAAGCCCTTCAGCTACAACATTGAACAAAAAAAGTGAAAGTGGATCACTTTGCCTTAACCCTCTACGAGGACAAAACTCTTCAGATGGAGATCCATTCACTAAAATATATACTCTAGGTGAGGTAATGCACTATTTTACCCAACCTAACCATCTTGGTCCAAACCCAAAGTTTGCCAACATTTCAAGAGGAAATTCCAATTCACCGAATCATAGGCTTTCTCAAAATCAAGTTTAAGGATTAGTCCCCTCTTTTTAGATTTCTTCCACTAATCTACTACCTCATTTGCAATGAGAACCCCACCCAAAATGTTTCTCCCCCTCAGGAATGCTTATTGAACTTTATCAATTACATTTGGTAATACTTGTTTAAATCTGTTAGCTAGCACTTTAGATAAGATTTTGTACATATAATTGATCAAACTAGTTGGTCTATACTCCGTAATGGATGATGGGATGTCTCTCTTTGGAATAAGGGTGACAAAAGAGCAGTTTATACCATAACTCAATCTGCTGTTTTTATGGAATTCCTTTATGAAATTTATTATATCTTTTTTCATCACCTTTCAACCTTTTTGAAAGCACATCATATTGAAACCATTAGGCCCTGGAGCTTTATTCCCATCGCTCTCTCTAATTGCCTCCCATACCTCAGCCTCAATAAAGTCTTTTTCCAAATTTTCAGTGGCTTGAATAGGATTCACCTTTTGAAAATTTCCACCAATGTTGGGCCTTTTTCTCCATTGTTCATCAAATTGTTTCTTGAAATAGTTACACATTGCTTGTTTGACTTCAGCTGGTTCTTCAACAATAACTTCATCAATCTTCATTGAGCTAATCATATTTTTGTTTTGCCTTATAGATGCTATTATATGGAAAAACCTTGTGTTCTTGTCCCCTTTTAATGCCCAATC